GCTGTTTTTATTAGAGGTAACTAGCGTATGTTAATAACAGGCCAATTGCCTACACATGAACATAAACAGTTCATATGGGCGGCTTATCTGACGGCCCCATTTCACTCGCAAAGAGATACACCGTCAAAAGTGAAAATGGACGTTTTTGATTTTTGTCTTAATAATGAGTAATTGCTCCATCAATTCACAGACATTCAGCAATTGGTCGTGGCATGCTCCTAATCAACCGTCCAATCACGATTTGGGTCAATCTGACCCACTTCTCTTGCAGTGCCACGGTCAATTCTTGCAGTGTTGTCGGTTGACATTGACGTCGATGAACACGTCTCCCGATCAAAGTAAACGTTACACACATGCTAGAACCGATAGGAAAGCAAACATGGATAGATAAACCAGCCCGCGGCAGTTTTCATCAACCCTTCCGTGAAGTGTCAAATTTGACAATGAACCCCTCCCACGTGCAGCCCAGTGGTTCTGTTGGGGCGGTAGGTTCTTTATCTGTGAACATACTCTCAAAGCATGTCAAATGTCCATGACTATTCATCATATCGCAACCTGCATAGGTATTTGTATATCAATATCCCCTACTTTTTGGAAGAGTATATTATAGCGAAAACTACTTACATAATGCATCTTTAAAGTTATATATTAGCAGTCACCAACATGGTGTTATTCAGATGCAGGTATATATTATACGTCATACTATTTAGCAGAGGGGCACGTTGGCTAAGACGTTGGCTCGCTAGCCTGGAGGCTGGGTGTTCGATCCCTGCATTGGCCGAGAAAGTTCATCCAGATTTTCCATCGTGGTTCCCCCTTGTCAGTGATGCAGGACCTGACAAGGATAGCTGTCTAGTCGCTCGGATGGGACGAACAACCGAGGTCCCGTGTACACATTTGCGTGCACGTAAAAGATCCCTTGACAGTTGGAATTCGATATAAGAGTAGGCCGTAGTGCCGCTGTCCTGGCAAAGGTTCCCTCATAGCACACTGTATGGCGTATCCTCGTCTTCATTAGGCCAGTTCGGAGCAGAACAGTAGGACGTTAAATCTCATTTCATTTCATTTCTGTTTAGCAGTCACCAACATGGTATTATTCAGAGGCAGGTATATATATACGTTATACAATTTATGCTAGTTCCCACTATCCATATTCGCGCTACGACTGAAATCATAGTTTTAATCGTGGAGTAGACGTGTTGAACCTAGCTGGTCTTATATTTTGTGGCCAGTCGTGGCAGTCGTGTTGATCGAAACGTATCCGAACATATCTGCACGTACCAGATCGTTGACTCAATAGGACAATCCTATCGCTACACATCGCACGACAGCGGGAAGCTAGCATTAGGAGTCACCAACATGATATTATTCAGATGCATGGTATATATTATAATGGTATACTATTGGTAGTTCTTATCAAACTCAGATATCTATGAACTTTATACTCTTTCCCGGTCATAAATCGTAGGAACTGAGCATGCCACTGGGGAAGCGATTAATTCAGCAGCTGTTTCTACATGGTCTGATTGATTATGGGCAGAGTGATATCACAGACAAATGTATAAGAGGAAGTAATTTGACGTCTACACATTCATTTTGACCAGAAACTCTTTAATTATCCCTAGGGGGCACGGGGGCGCTTGCACATTCATCAGGAGGTCTCGGAAACGACACCAGTTTGAGTCGAGAAATTTACTTGGGATTTTCAGGCCTGGTTTCCCCAGGTCAAGAGGACATGTTACGAAAAGCGTCTAGTCATTCGGATGATACGAAAAGCGAGGTCGCGTGTATACCATTGGTAACTCGTTATAGGAGCTCTAGTAGGTGAAAATTGATATACGAGTAGATCGATGCTCCGCTATCCGGGCAAAATTACCACCCAACACGCTCGCTTTCATTAGTGCTACAGACAAGTAAAACCTTAAACGTCATGTTTTTCATATAACATTGACAGTGATTGTTGTTATATTTGTTCAACTGGCGGAGCAAATATAGACATTTAATTCCGTGTCGGTAGACCAGACTCATGGAACAGAAAATAGTATGTTCGTGGCACTTCTGTAACGATTTACCATTAGGTTCAATATATGTTATTAATTAATAGTAAAGAATGGGTGTGTGGGTGGATTGTTTAGTGGGTGTATTGTTTGCTTACCAAATAACTAAACAAACAACTTTCTCTTATCGTTTTATTTTCCATAACTTCATTATCATGTTCTGTTATGAGAATATTCTACCTATTTGTGTACTGTAATACCCCGTTCACATTCGAGCTGCGAGTCAGAAATGTAATGAAATGGGGTTAACACCCTACCATCCTGTGCCAGCCGGCTAATGAAGGCGCGCATGCGCAATGCAGTGCTATATGAGCGATATACTTTTTACAGAATTTACATGATCGAATATTTTATATAGACAGCACTCACGGAGACTGCCGAATGAAGGATTGAAAATGAAAACATCGCTTATAACCGTGGCAATAGTACTAGACAATAGAGACTTTTATGCCATTTGTTCAAACATTTATAACTTTGCTCGGTTTTTGGTCTGATCCGAATGACTATTCGCTGAATCACTGACTTAAGCTGAAACCACGCCGGAAATCCCGATGGACTTTCTCGACCAATACCAGGATCGAACACGGGCCCTCCGCAAGTCAAACATTACTTATCATAAGTGTGAACACCGGAATATGCATTCCAGTGTCTTACTCACCGGGTCAGCACGGAATTTCTAAAACAGGTTGGTGTTTTGCATTTATCTTTTTTAAAGACACGGTTGATAAATGCCATTTGATTTATTGTGTTAAGTGAATTATTAGGTTAACATGTCTTATCAGAAAGGAGAGCATGCCAGAAAAAGGAAACGGTACACCCATGACATTTAAAACAAGGAATTGTTACGCAAGAGAATAGACACCGGTCGACAAGTAAATCTTGGTATTACTGTTTCATAGTCTAACATATCGTCTTATTAGGCAGGGTTAAATATATAGAATTGCATAGTATTAAGTTTAAAATGCATGCAATAAGAAGGTTAGCAGACAGAGAAGACTTGATATTATCAGATTCATACCATCTTCGTGATTTAGTTAACGAGGGTTAGCAGACAGACAAGATTTGATATTATTTGATATATCATCTTCGTGAGTTGGGTAATGGGGGTTAGCAGACAGACTAGATTTGTGACCTGCAATGGCACAATGAATAGGAATACGCAAAGTCTAATAATTTTGATATAATCGGATTGATGCCATCTTCGTGAGTCGGATAATGTTTCACGCGGTAAATTTTCCACTATATCATTCTGTACGGCATATGTCCGTCTTCGTTAGCCCGGGACGTAAAAGCCCATTCATTTTATTTGAAACTAGCAGGATACCCGACTTCGCTCGGGGGTCATAACTCCGAAACCGGAAGTGGTAGACTAACGCCACCTGGCCTATGTTACTCCCCAGTCCGAGCTACCCCTATACCCCAAATTTCAGACTCGGGGCAGACCCAGTGTAGCCGCCAACCCCGAACAGACAGACAGATACCCGGCTTCGCTCGGGGGTCATAACTCCGAAACCGGAACGGGTAGACTAACGCCACCTGGCCTATGTTACTTCTCGGTCCGAGCTACGCCTATACCCCAAATTTCAGACTCGGGGCAGACCTAGTGTAGCCGCCAACCCCGAACAGACCGGCTTCGCTCGGGGGTTATAACTCCGAAACCGGAAGTGCTAGACTAACGCCACCTGGCCTATGTTACTCCCTGGTCCGAGCTACCCTACACCCCAAATTTCAGACTCGGGGCAGATGTAGCCGCCAACCCCGAACAGACAGATTTCGCTCGGGGATCATAACTCCGAAACCGGAAGTGGTAGACTAACGCCACCTGGCCTATGTTACTCCTCGGTCCGAGTTACCCCTATACCCCAAATTTCAGACTCGGGGCAGACCTAGTGTAGCCGCCAACCCCAAAAGGACCGGCGTCGCTCGAGGGGCATAACTCCGAAACCGGAAGTGGTAGACTTACGCCACCTGGCCTATGTTACTCCCCGATCCGAGTTACCCATATACCCCAAATTTCAGACTCGGGGCAGACCTAGTGTAGCCGCCAATCCCGAACAGACAGACAGACAGGCAGACAGACAAACGACAGTTTCAAATATATATATAGATAGATAGATACAGCATTTGCTATTTGTATACGCTAGGTCTATCACTGTTGTATTATAAACATAGCTTGCAATATGGGTTGCAATGTCGGAAATATATCTAGACCATTCTTCAAATTCTCGTGTTGTTTTCAATACATGTATAACGAAAATATTCTTGACTGTAATAATAAATATGTGCAGACCATTTGACTGGAATTTATCATTCTTGCCACTGTAACTGACTCAATAATGGTGGGGGCGGTGGATGACCGTGCACAATAGATCATTAGGTCAGTCATCGATCAAAGCCTGAGAGGTATAGTGTGAACGCCTTTCTAACTTTCTTGCACTTAATAACCTACTTCGTGTTGAGTGGTCGTTAAAATTGTTGAAATAAAGATAGACCATATCTCGAAATAACTCGTTAAACGCCATCTCTCTCTCACTTGAATACGTTCAATCGAAATACCATTCAAGGGACGTAACTCTTACAACCAAACGGATGCAGACCACTATTGATTTACTCATTGCCTTCAATGTTACTTCTGGTCTGCACCCCCCCCCCCCCCCGCGCCTCCTCAATATTCTTGACCCCATATTCTTTATTCCATATTCTGTATGATGTTGACCAATAATATTTGAGATACACAAGCTTGAAGTTGCATACTAAAACATGTAACTATAGGTTATTCTTCCGCTTCTATTTCTACAGAGTAACGAGATGCTGAAATGTAATGGTGGCCTGCCTCCTATATGGTTTTATAAGTTCATATATCAGCAAAATTTTTACTTCATAGCTTTACATTTATTCTAGCATCATTTGTATAATTCTAAATCAAAATAAAATAATAATTGCAACAATGGTGACCCTTTAAAGTTACGTGCTCTTTTGTAAACAGGGTTTCAGCTATCACTAACATTCCATTTCCAATAATGCAAATTGCTGCACGCTATAATATAAAGTTTATCGTGGAACTTATACAGATTACAGAAAATAAAAAACTGAAATGAAATGAAATGGGGTTTAACGCCTTATTGTTCTGCTCCGACTTGGCTAATGAAGACGGGCATACGCCATACAGTGTGCTATGCGAGACATTTTGCCGGGGCAGCGGCACTATCGTCTACTCTTATATCGAATTTCATCTGCCAAGGGATCTTTAACCTGCAAGCCAATGTATACACGGGACCTCGGTGATTTGTCTCATCCGAACGACTAGACAGTTGCCATTCCCTCCGTCCTGCACCACGAAATAAAACAGTTTGATAAAATCAAACACATACAGATATAACAATATACTGTAGTATTTTCTAAAACGAAAGCCATGCAAAGCGCGAAATACGCCCAAACAACAGCTTTGTCTCAACTGCAGCTTATCCCAAATGAAAACTTGGAGATTGAGAAAATTTGAACGGAAACTTGCAGAACGTTTAATATCGACAGGATTCATCCTCTCATTACCTCAATCCTTGAAAGAGATCCGTTAAATACAAGGGTGATTGGGAGGGGATATTACTCGTAGATATAAAGTATTAGAACGCTGAAAATCGACATACCTCATCCCTCCGGACCCCAATACTATAGTCTGTATCGCGTTAACAGTGCTTTTGGCAAAGGGTTCATCCTCACATGAATCACATATAATGCATGCTTCCCATCAAATTTGTCAAAAATCGGTTAAAAATTTGGGACTCGCGGAATGCTGAAAAGCAATAGGGTTCATCGATTAATGGCTCCAATGCTTTCCACCAAATTACAAAAGCATCCGTTAAAAACTACAGCCGCTATCGCGCACACGATGTTTTCTGAAAAGGCGAATAACCCCGGAACGAAACATCGCGGTACCCTGAAAGTCACTAGGGTTCATCCTCTCATGACCCCAATGCTTCCCACCCAATTTGAAAAATATCAGTTAATAACTACGGTTTTCGGCAAAGGGGAATTACTCAGGAATGTCAAAAACTGTAGCTTCTATCGCGTTGACAAGTCAATTGTTGACGGATCGACGGACAGGATGACGACATAAAGCGCCAACACATATAATAATAATCTGTAGGTAGGCAGAATTGGAACTCCGAAATGATGCCTAATTTAAACATCACTAGTAACATTAAACCGGTGAGAATTAAAATGTTTGTATAAAGGGATTGATCACAGCAAACATGACACATTTTAATCGTGATGTTTAAAATGTGTTAAATATAGAACACGCAAGATCTGAATTAGTTTCAACATGTGCTCCATTGAAAAAAAAATTTTAAAATACATAAAGTTGAACATTAACAAAAGAGAATTTCACATATTATCTGAAGGCCTCGCTATAAATGTTCATTGGTAATATTATAATCTGAGTACTGATCTGAATTCCGGTTACTGCCATAGTCCTTTATGGTTTCCTTGGCGAGTTCATCAGCTCTTTCAACGTCTCGTTAATCTACAATTTTGAACACAAAACAGTAAAAACGAAATGAAATGAAATCGGGTTTAACGTCCCTATTATGGGATTGTTGTAAAATGCAAAGGGAAAAACAAAATACACGAACTGCTAATAAATCCCAAAATACGTACATGTGTATAGTAATAAACCATGAATTTGTAGTTCGTACATGTGTATAGTAATAAACCATGAATTCGTACTTCGTATATGTATATAGTAATAAACCATGAATTCGTAAAGAAACCATGAATTCGTAAAGAAACCATGAATTCGTACAAATATATAGTAATAAACCACGAATTCGTACACAGAGTAATAAACCACGAATTCGTATACAGAGTAATAAACCACGAATTCGTACACATAGTAATAAACCATTTGTACATGTAGTAATAACCATGTATTCGTACACATAGTAATAAACCATGAATTCGTACAAGTATATAGTAATAAAAAGATGAGAGGCCGTTAATATCTGTATCCTGCTTGAAGAGTCAAAATAAATAATACCGTAGAGGTATACTCTGCTCACCTTATCATCTACCGTTTTGGTTATTTCTTTCTGAACTTTGCTTATCTGTAAAATATATTCATTAAATTTACAGGTCTAGAATATCTGTATACATGTCAGTAGACATAAAACAGCCCCCGCGGCTCCCGAAAATGATTTTGCTATTATAATATTTAAAGTGAGGGCAATATGACCCTACCTCTTTTTTGAATGACTGTCTCAGCTTTTTTATTTCTGTTCTGAAATCATCTTTGTTTAATGAAGGTTTCTCAGACTTGGGTGTATTTATAAACTCTTCTAGATCAGACTGCAATCTTGTAAATAATAATTAATTCATATATATATATATAGACATGTATTGTAACTTAGATAATTAATTCTATTTTAAGGCATAAACATATAATTTATATTTTCTCTTTTATATCCTCGAGGATTCGAATCCTGACACAGGTCGAGAAGAACCTTCAAGGGTTTTCCATCCCGGCCATCACTTGTCAGTGTTGATGTCTGCGGGGTTGACAAGAAAAGCCTGCCTAGTCGTTCGGGGGGAACAAAAAGCGGGGGTTAACCCGTTTACATATTGACGTGGCAGTTGGAAATTGTGGGAGGGTGGGCAGATTTTCCCAACGACGCATACTGAAGTAATCATAGAAATAACAATCATTACATGTTAGTCTTAAAATAACCAAAGTGTTGTGTTGGAAAGTCATTTAAATTCCATGGGAGAGAGAGAGAGAGAGAGAGAGAGAGACAGAGACAGAGACAGATATAAGGTTTAACGTTCACTCGACACAAACTAGGTCATTTTGGGACTAGCATATGGCTTAATTTTATTTTAATAATTCGCTTGTGATTAGGGCTCTTTGGCAGTGGGACTGGGAGGAAACCGGGGGATCCGGAGAAAACCCACGAGGTTGGACAGGCGACCCTACTCCTTATCACGTACAACCGGGCAACCAAAACCACACCAGTTTACTCAATGATAGACCTTATGATACAGCGCGCATGTGCTAAACATTCGACCATCCTATCCCCCAATATGGCGGGGTATCGGGTCGGGTTCAAATTGCTATCTATAGTAAAAGGTAGAGAATAAAAAAGTGCATTAAAACCTGAAGCTTTTCAACTTTAAACTCTCAGAATGAAAGTTATAGGTTTCCACCGTAAAGATACCCTTCTGGATAAGAAATTTCCTCTTCTTACTTTGAATTTCTGCTTTTTACCCTATATTGCATTTTGAACCCGATACTCCGCCATATTGAAACAGTTAAAAGAAATATCAACCTAACTTCCTGGTTTATTGTACTATTCATACTACTTTATATTTTATTGGTTATCCGCTTAAGCCTTCTTAATTTCGAAAGCAGACTAACCCCGTCATGACATAAACGTAAAATATTATTCAATTTCATAAAGTGCCAATATTAATTTGAATATATTTCCAGTATAATTTGATTGCTTTTGTCCCCATAGGCCAAAAGAAAGGGTTTGAGTGACTCTTGACATACCTTTGAAAAACGTGTTTAGAATTATCGAAAAATTCTTCTTTTCTTTTCTGTAAACAAGCTTTAGCCTCCCGTCGTTCAACATTGTCATAATACAGATGTGTTTTATAATCTAAATTAACATCTGGAATACGAATAGAACCGTTGGAAAATTAATTGCACTATGCATTCAAGCTTTACTATAGTATATTCCTGGTAGATAGTAAGGCACAGAACCAATTGACACATGTCAGATTACCAAAGTTTCAGACTACTACTGTATAGGTATATGGTAAAGAATATAAAATTTGTCGGCGGGTTGAGTGCGGTGTTGATAACAGCCACAGTCTTTCATACTAAGTATCAAATATAGACCATACACAAGAATTACCACGCATAAGAAGTAGTATTAGCAAAATACAAAGTTGTCAAAAATTATATAATTTGATCGCAGTTAAAGCGAGAAATTTAAATTTTCTAAGAAAGTCAAAACATAATTATTTCTATGTCTTTTGCTCAATAGGTTATCAAATCACTATTATACGATCATGGGCATTATTTCCCACCCTTAAAAATCTATGACACAGGAAATAACAACACAATTACCTCCCCTGTTTTGCTATTGACAACATGGGGCAGCCATTTTCCAACGTTGGAATTTGAAGTTAAAAATGATATTTTTGCCAATTTCTCAGCTGGCAATAGCGAATTATAGGATTAATAGGATTATTCTTTAACAAGGTAGGACTGTTTATGGATACCATCTATTTTAAGGCTTTATTTTCATACATTTTAAAAATATAACTTGATGATTTGCTATTGCAACTTTAACGTCTTATTAAGGCTATGTAAAATTCACATTATACTGGCCAGTTGACAAGTGAAATATAATTCACCTCTATCGGGGCCACGACGGCACATAATTTTTAATTTCAATTATCTAAAATACCACCGACAGATATCATTGTTAAATTTAAATCCGTAAACTTTTTATTAGCATGGAACATTTAATCAGCTTAAGAAGAATAAATAGTTTCTTTCCACGAGGCCAGTTTTTTTAATCGTTTAAACTACTATCGACTCTTATAAACATGCATATAGCACACTCCCTACTCGAAACCCGCCACATTCACCGTTATTATTAAAATAACATACCAAAATTTGAGCAAGAGTTATATGATTCTGGATTAAAACCATCTTCAACTTTGTTTAAATTGCCACATCGAGCTCTACAAGATTTATACAATCTATACAGATGTTCACAGATAATCAGCGGAGGTGGAAGAACAGGGCGTGCATAATATTCTTGAACCAAGTGGAGATAATTCAAACACCAGTACAGATGAGATTGGTCTTGTATACTTGAGAATGTATAACTGTTAAGATACAGAAAAGACTGACATGGATGGTTTAAACTAGTATTTCATTGATATTGATCTATACTGCTGAATTTCAGGCAATCAACGTTTCCCAAAGTCCACGCTGGCTCCCTAACAAGCAGGTCTTGAGTACGATTCAGAAGTTCATTTGGATTTTCCAGCCTTTTGCCAAACCAGTAATACAGTACTGGGGGTTTGGCAAGGAACAAGTGTGTAGTCGTTCAGATAGAACGAACACCAGATCCACCCGTAAAAGAACCCATCACAATTGAATTTGATGACACGTAGACGGAAACTCCGCACACTGCATGGCTTATAACTGTCTTCATAGCACACTGCATGGCGTATACCGTCTTTATTAGCCCCATGGGCGCTGAAACTTAGGTCGTTAAAACCCATATTAACACATTTCCATTGAAAGTAGCGCCTATTTCCGATTTGCTTAGGTTTGCTAAGTATTTCAAAGGGCTTAAAGATCTTAACGTTGCTTTAACCATGCTCATTGGCCTGTAGATATTTGGTAATGCCCTTGGTCAGCTCTTTGACTCGAGTACTGTGAAATGTGAGGAAGGGGGACACATGGAACTGTTGGGCAGCTTGTACAACGAAATTAGCAGGACTGATTTCAAATATGAAGAAAACGGAATGCTTCCTGAAATGCTTCCCCACCCTGAGTCAACGCCAATAGCCTTGCTAATCGTTTGGCCTATTTCTGTTGGAAGTAAGTACTATAATTATTTACCTGAACATAGCAATCAGTAAATTCAACAATAGAACATTAGTAAACAGTACATATATACCAAGTAGAATAGCTGCGACATATTTGCCCACTTCAGATGGACATCGTAGTTGATTGTAGTCCTCGTATAAAGCTGGATCATCAGTACAATCAACATCGCCTGTAAGAAAACGGTCAACGACATTCAAATATCTGAGCTCCAGAGTCCTCATTAATAATCTGTCAATCAGGTTTCATCTACAACCTAAATGTTCCATTTTAATTTCTACATTAGCGATTTTATAGTCGAAAAAATAAGTATTTATTGAAAATGTTTTGTTAGTATGAAAAATGTAAACAGATTAGAACCGCATAACACAATGGTATACTCAGTTTTGAATATGCCCGCCATTCAGATAGTTATATGTGTGCCGAATGTGAATAACCACCAGCTGTGGAATACCCGGAGCCATTCCTTTGTCCCTGTTTATTCTATTGAATAGGATAACACACTGAGGCATGATCAAAGCGCACAAGGTTAAATGTTTTAATCAATCGTATAACATTTTTTCAAAAGGATGGGTTTTAATAGGTCTTGATTTGAGATGTTTTAATAATTTCTAGACGATTGTGTCACTGTTTAAGTGAAGTCTCTGAGAACCACTGTTTTTACATACGATCGCTTAGCCACCTACAAACTCAGAGACATATTTTGAAAGGGATTCTTTTATTCATTGGAATGATTTAAAAATAAGGATAATATGACTGCATCTCAATGAAATATAGATTCGCGAAGAATAAATTATACACAGTGAATGGAACTAAAAGTCCGAATCGAAATCACATCTAAAAGTGTAATTATATTAGTTTATTATCTATACACATTATCTGACATTACCTTCAATATTTTCCAAGAACAATTCGCCGTAAATTTGCCAGTATGCCTTTCGAGGTAGTTGATAAACCAGTTTCCATGTGAGTTCTGTGTTTGGATATAATATAGCTTCTGATGCAATAGCATAAGCTACTATAAACAGCACGAAGATGGCCAAGAAAGGCAACAAATCTCGCCAGATCTAAAATAAACAGTATCACGTCAGTTTGTTATGACTTATGACGATGGCCAATTATGGAAACAAATCTCGCCAGATCTAAAATAAACAGTATTCACGTGACTTGTTATGAAGATAGTCATTACAATTTCGTCTAGTCGAACATCTCCAGGGTGTTGACACGGTATCATAAATCACGGGGAATAATTCTGTCAGTAAATTGTTACAAATCTGGAGGACCCTGAGGAACTCATGACATTGGACAGGCAACTCTACTCCATGTCACATAGAGGCGGGGTATAGAAACCACTTGACTCAGTGCCAGGCCTTATGATCTAAAGCGCAAGCGTTAAACCATTCAGACACCCACCCCTGAATATTGCTGGAAAAAAAACTTACCATTCTGTTTATCATAACAAGTTTGGGTCCGAGTTGCTCATTTGGTACAAACATGCGCAGTAACCGGACAAAACACAATATTAAATTAATGCAAAATACCACTCTGGCTGCCTCGAAGCTTGAAGCGTTTGGTACAGATCTTAATATTATTCCAATTATAAACAAACTGACGGTTAATATGTCTAATATATTTAATGACTGGCCTATATATTTCCCGAGCATTGATTCCGTCGAATTTGATTTGATGATCGAGAGCTAAAGAAAAAAATAAAATATGTATATTATATTTTACAAAAGAACAAACCTTGAACTATAGTGATCGTCTCAGTATGCAAAGAAATATATACCAACAATATAGGATAAATGAAAAGTGTAATTGGAGCCACGGTGACTGGTTTTATTACCAGGATGTCCCGGGTTTGATCCTAATGTTGATCGAGGAAGTTTCTCCGGATTTGTTAGCATGGTTTCTCCTTCTTAGAGTTGCAGGATGGCAAAATTGGTAAGATTGACAAGGAACATCGTATAGTCGTCTAGATGAGATGAAAAACGCAGGTTCTGTATACCCTTGGAAATCAACGAAGAGTAAGCGGAAACGCTGTTGTCTGGCCAATATTGCCATCACAGTACACGATACGGGATATGCCCGTCTTCATTAACCCGGTTGATGAAGATAGAAAGGACGCTAACTCTATTTCATTTCCGAATTACATTAACTACGTGGAAATATATCCAAGAACTAACATAATTTATGTTTTTTGTTTTTTTAAAAACATTAGCATCTAGTAAATATTTTTACATATATCGTTTATGACATGTTGCAAACTGAATAGGTTGCTTCATTAAATAATGTTATTACTAGTATTAATATTATTTTACCATTTCTGATCCAACATACTAACGCATAAATTGTTTAAGTGACATTTAGTAACTGAATGAGAATAACATATGGCAAAATTATAAAGTATACAAGTTACTTAAAAGTTTATTTCTGGCGATGTTTCGACGCGGGTTCTCTCGACATTATCAAGCAAAGACTTCTAAGTAAATGTAATCTGTATTTCATATAAGGGTATCATAACAAACAATGCACAGTCACAGTTTCATTACGTACCTGTCTAATTTCTTCACAAACCAAAGTGAAAACCCAGAAACAGAGAATGCCACCAAAAACATTAAACTGAGGTTTAAAGCTAACAAGCATGTGGTAACTGTACAACCCCAGAAATACGATATACGAGAGCTGAAATACAACATGTTCTCAGTTTTAGAATCACAAATTAACGTTCCTACTAATCTCCGACAAGAGCGTGTTTTGTATTTTTTGTAAATATCGCCTAATGTATTACAAAAAGTAATCGACAAGGAAAGCTGTGTTATAGATATTCACATTTTACACATCATGTCCAAAGTTAAATAAATTTAGATAAAAGAATTTACAAAATATGGATGATTGAAATATTGATAAAAACGATCTTGCTAATCACCGACCGACAAGAGAGAGAGAGAGAGAGAGAGAGAGAAATGGGTTTAACGTCCACTTGACACAAACTAGGTCATTTCGGGACTAACATATGGTTTAGTTTTATTTCAATAATTCGCTTGCGCGTAGGGGTCTTTAGCAGTGGGAGGAAACTGGAGGACCCGGAGAAATCCCACGAGGTTGGACAGGCAACCCAACTCCTTGTCACGTACAACCGGGGATTCGAAACCACACCAGTTGACTCAATGACAGGCCTTATGATACAGCGCGCACGTGCTAACCATTCGGCCACCCAACCCCCCACCGACCGACAAGGGCAGATGTTTCGTTGCCAATTTCACTTATTCATAATTTTGCCAATTTTTTATGTAATTATTTAAAATTTGCATATGATGTGTAGAATATGCATATTTATATATTTAAAACATATATTGGCGTGTCGGCCAGTTCTAGCAATACTGTAGACGATATTGACAAAAACGCTTTTTGGTTCTTGCAATGTCGGTGATTAGTAGGACCCGACATTGACGTCCTCGAGAAATAAACCAAACCATTAGATACACATCTAATCACAGTGACGGTTAAAACGTTTACAATTTGTCTTATCCCAAATTAAATAGGTTTTCGTCTGATCAACGTCAATTAAAAAGACGTGATGTTTATGTGTTGATCTCTTAGTCTATATCTATAGCTATTGTTGATATACAATTGATTATGTGTTCCTGTGTAGACACATTAAAGATACATTATGTAAGATTGAGATAAAGAGCTAGCCATTTTGCTATAATAGTTCGAACATAGATGACGTAAAATGAATAATTTGAAAATTTCATGCAAATTACTCTATTGCGATCGAAGATATTAGCCATTGAAGGTTTGACAAGACATGTGCAATAATTTCAACCACCGCATTAGTTGTTCGAAGCTAAGTCTCGCTCCTCCATTATTAGATTAAATCAAAATATATATCTTAACCGTTCTAATCTATTTAATATCTGAGGAATCAGATGCCATCGAGGGTTGATTATGGCCTGGACCAGTTAATAATTTAGAAAACATTTCAGGCCTAAAGAAAGACCTGCAATAGGCAGATTTAGCTCTTGAATAATGTATGTTTAAGCACAAAATCAAATACAAAATAGTAAATAAACCCTTAACCATTCGACACAGACATTATCGTAAGAGCGTGTCTCAAAATAACACATCATATATCAGCCCACATTAAAACATGTTTTTTTGCCCGGGTTTCGTGCCTTACATAAATAGGTCGCTTCTTGTTTTGAAATCAAAGACTAACTCACAGAATTAAACAAGAATTTCGCCACTGGAGCTGTACTTAGTTGTTTCAGTCGACTTCGCTTCCTCAGAGAAACCTGAAAGGAGAAACCAATACAAAGAGTCTTTGGGACAATTTATTCTGTGTTTCAAAAAGGAGTTATTTAAATGATTTCATTTAATGAAGACACTGGGGAGTAAAGACGTTAGTTCTCTAACCTTGAGGTCATTGAAAGTTCATCAGGATTTTCCGGTGTGGTTTCCTCTTGTCAGTGGTGCAGGACGGAGAACCCGACAAGAGACAACAGAGAGAGGGAGAAATGGGGTTTAACGTCCAATCGACACAAACTAGGTCATTTCGGGACTAACATATGATATTATTTTATTTCAATAATTCGCTAGCGCATAGGGGTCTTTAGCAGTGGGAGGAAACCGGAGGACCCGGAGAAAACCCACGAGGTTGGACAGGAGACACTACTCCTTGTCACGTACTACCGGGGATTCGAAACCACGCCAGTCGACTCAATGACAGACTTTATGATACAGCGCGCACACGCTAACCATTCAGCCACCCCCCCCCCCCCAAGAGACAACAGATAATTGCACTTACATTGTAGTGCACTAAAAGAACCGTTGACAGTTGGGATTCGAAATTAGAGTAGACTGTAGTGTCGCTGTCCAGGCAAAATGTTACCCATGACACACGGTATGGCGTACCTGCCAGTTTTCATTAGCCCAATCGATGCTAAACCCCATTTCATTTCATTTAATACTAACCGGTCGTTTTATCGATATTGTTCTTGTCCTCGGGGTGTTATTTTCCAATTTATCATTTCCCCACCATATGGAATCTAGCAATTCTTGACATGCTGGTCTTGATATAAATACCCTGTTCTCTACTTCTGAAGCTATTGATAAAACAGAACCATCTTTCCAATATTTTAACTGTCTACGTAATATGTAGTTAGACGATTTATTTTCGTAGCATGCATCAATGACCCCTACTGCTAGATCTGTGAATTCACTAAAACATGATTTAAAAGTCTGTAAATTAATGATTCGAAAGTACTCGACTCTCTACTGAAAAAGAGAACTTAAAGATAAAAAATAAATTTGTCAGGAATGCGAACACATGAAATGAGTTCTTGCTTTGAACTTGGGAAATTTTATGCAATATGTGTTGAGACATTAATTCATATAATTTAGAGTTGCCTCCCTTATTTTACTTAATATTGATATCCGCCGAATGACGTGTGATATTCAAAGAAGATACAAATAATATATGTTCTTAGTCCCAAAGGGGTTATGAAATACGAAATTGCAATAAAACGAAAAGCAAAATCAAGCCTATGGTAAATGGTCTCACAAAACGGTAAACCATAAAAAGTAGTAGTAAGTAGCAGGGGTCTCGTAAAAGAATAAGCATGGTCTGTGCACGCTTTATGTAAGTATTTGTTATTTTCCAGAAGTGCTATATTCCTGATAGATAATTAAACTGGTTAAATAATTATATTGAAAATACTACTGTTTCCAGCGACTTGGGATTTGGCCATCCCACTAAACCAACAGTTCCTAATTATGGACCAAAGATGAAGAGACACGCTACTGATGGCGGACAGCGTGGGCCCAGACTCTATTACAAGAACAGTCACTGCCACCTGTCACCATACTATCATCCAGCCACACTATTTCTAATAGGTAATGTGCTTACTTTGAAATCTTTGCGTACGTCATTAATATTTCTGAGTCCTTTATCTCGGCCAAATCGATGACAATCTGATGTAATCTTTTGACTGCTAAGGCAGCGAAAACAGGTTCCTGTGTTAAAAAAAATACCATTCCAATAGTGTTAACATCGTAATGCATAACATATGATATAAAAGTTTATACCTAAACTCATCTGTACATTATTTTCATTATCATTTGCTTGAAACGTTGAGATCAGAACCCTCAACGAAACGTCGCTTTAATTAAAATAGTAATTGTGTTCCATATTATTTTTTTGTGTGTATTACGTATGTCAATTGCTAAATGCCGCTCAAAGAAGATAAACTCATCTGATTGGGAAATAATCAAAATGTTATGATTTAAAAAAAGTAAAAGATTAACTACTCGCACGCACATCTAATTCAGTCCAAATTATCTTCGACATTTCGTGCTTTTTAAATAAGACACTCAATACAAACATCTGTTCCAGTCCTAAAGTTACTTCATCAGCTTTAACTGAAAAAAAAACAATGACACATAAAAGTGACTGTCAATATTCCTGGATATTTCCTTGGTCGAGAATTGGCCTGGCATAACTGGCAGTTAACGTGTTCTTTCAGAAAACAAACCTTCAAATGAAAAGTAATACTTTAGCACAATCTAGCTACCCTATTAATATTTAAAATACAGATGTGACGTCATCCTTTGATGTTGGCGTACCATTATTTCTAATAATGTACGGGCAACTTGCCAATCATATATTGTCTATACTAGATGAAATATTGGACTCGCGTGACGTATTTCATTGAAAAGCACGTGCGGGATAGTGTCTGTATTATAAGTTGTTTAATGGTCTCGATCTAAAGATATAGTGTGATATATTGAAACAACACTCGGCTGACGCCTCGTGCAGTATCAATATATTACTAAATGTAACGTCTCGCTCTCGACCATTAAACCATACCTATAGTAATTCCGGTTATTGTTTTCTATTTTATTCATATCGTCGCACGCATGCCAACCTACAAATACACCAATAAGCGATTCTTCTGAACAGGTATTCTGCCAGTGACGTAATAAAGCAAATTAATAAGTTTTGACGATGCGATGTAAATTGAAACTGACCTTTACCAAAATCCATTCGGCATTTTATACTAGGAAGAAAGGGGGATCCATATCCAAAGTCATTTAATTTTTCAAAAATTGGAATTTCATCGTTGTTGTCTATCTGAAATTACAAATGAATTCATTATACCGCCCATGTTTTGCATTTCGCAGAATTTGATTTACAGCGATTTTTTTCAGATATTTCATTTTTATTTTATTTTAGATAGGAGGCTGATAGCTGGAGTGGAGACATGGTGAAATCAAACCATGAAGGACGTGCCGAGTTCCGGGCGAAATTATTTGAAAGCGTTTCTGGTCTTTTCTGCCTCAGCAATCCATTCAATCAAAACAGACAGACTATTACCCGCGGAGCGGTAAGTTAGTGGCGCAAATTCGATTCTGTAAGGTTAATAAATTGTAGAGTATTTAAAAGTATTATGAAAGGATCGACGGTATGGCCACAAAATATGAGAAACAAATATTATTATATTTATATAAATTACACTTGCCTTTGGCACCACTGCTTTGTTTTCTAGAAAATACCGTTGCCATATCTCGAAGTCCAATAACTGTCTCGTATTTATTCCAATTTCAAAAAATACATTAAGGCATTCATACTTGTCTCGAAGGAAAATTTGATGAATAAAATCTTGATAACACTGAAATAATATAACTATATGCTATTTGTCATCATATTTTGTCATAAAGCTTTAAAGAATTAAATCATGCCAGATTGGACACAAAAATACCTACATGATATAAGGATACCTGTGCAATAATACTGTAGAATATAACTGTATCGGTTTCTAATTAATAGGACGATATCTATCACTCAGTTATATTAAAAATATCTAATAATCTATCACTCAGTTATAATATATCTAATAACTACACATCTAACTAAGTTATATATATATATCTAATAACTTTATATCTATCACTCAGTTATAATATATCTAATAACTTTATATCTATCACTTAGTTATAATATATCTAATAACTTTATATCTATCATTCAATAATAATTAATTTATATCTATCACTCAGTTATAATATATCTAATGACTTTATATCTATCACTCAGTTATAATATATCTAATGACTCTATATCTATCACTCAGTTATAATATATCTAATAACTTTATATCTATCGCTCAGTAATAATATATCTAATGACTTTATATCTATCACTCAGTTATAATATATCTAATGACTTTATATCTATCACTCAGTTATAATATATCTAAAAACTTTATATCTATCACTCAGTAATAATTAATTTTATATCTATGGCAATAGTAAAGGTACCTCTGTATATTTGCCACTCTGCAACAATTCGGAAACAAGTTTGGTGTCGCCAGACCGAATTGCTCGTTTCATTTTTTCTTCGCCGGTCGTCTCCTGTTTCGACTTGGTATTCTGACCACCTGCATTACCCATCAAGAGATCCGAACGAATAAAGAAGAATGACGCTGAGATTAGAAAAAAACTAAAAGACCAGCAATGCTATTGTTGACTGTGCACATTAAATATGCATTTGTGTAATTAGAATTTCAGCGAATTTTATAAACCTGGTTGGGGTCAAAACAGTGATTAAGTATTAAGTTTCTAGTTAAATAACTATAATCATATAATTTACAAGACCATTAGATTTTACAATTTATTTTATTTTACAAATTTCAACATTTTGGCTAACCTTGACATCGGATTAAGTGGTTTGGGTTAACACAGCATCATCTATGCTCAGAATACATAGGGCACTGCTGAAAATTACACATAAGCCGAAATACCCGAAGAGAGCTATTATATTTGCACAGAGGATCTGCAAGCGGTGGTTCTACAAACTGTTCATGAACAAAAGCGACGGCTCTGTAGACGAGTCGAGGATACATTTATAAAAACCGCCTTAACTTACCGTGAATAATATTTTCAAGAATCATTCTGAAATCTTCTGCCGAAATACCCGAAGAGAGCTATTATATTTGCACAGAGGATCTGCAAGCGGTGGTTCTACAAACTGTTCATGAACAAAAGCGACGGCTTTGTAGACGAGTCGAGGATACATTTATAAAAACCGCCTTAACTTACCGTGAATAATATTTTCAAGAATCATTCCGAAATCTTCTGCCTGATCGCAACTACCTAAATCAAATACTGTCAGCAATTCTTTATTTTGAAGAATTATTTCGATATGTTCAACGGTTCTAATAGACTCTTCCTCCGTTAATGCATTTCGTAGCAAATAATCGTCTTGTTCAATAGCAGACTGTACAAGTTCTTTTCTCCTGCAATTGGATAAAAGCTACATTGCTCGAATGATATCAGTGGTAGAATTGCACTAATATAGGTCTAATGTTGAATGTCGCATTAATGTTTTCAGTATGGGTGAATGAAACAAATGCTGATCCGATGAATATCGAACGTTGGTCTATGTAACTGGCTGCAGTATTTTTAGTTGTATAAGGTAAAGAGTTATTTATTTATTATTGGGAGCCACGGTATAAGTGGATAATATGCTCCCGTTTTTGTCCGAGAAAGTTCTTCTAAATTTTTTGGCGTGGTTTCCCTTGTTACTTGTGCAGAATGGGCGGTCTGACAAGGACAGCTGTCGTTCGGATTGGACGAAAAACCGAGGTCCCCTGTACAAATTGGAGCGCGCGTAAAAACCCCTTGGCAGTTGGAATTTGATATAAGAGTAGGTCGTAGCACTGTCCGGGCGTATACTTGTATGGCGTATATTTGTCTTCATTAGCTCAGTCGGAGAGAACAGTAGGACGTTAAACCCCATTTTATTACTTATTATGACGTATATATCTATACTTACTTCTTATCATCCACTTGAGTCAGATTTAAGGCAGACGATATTATATCTGCTATTCCACCATACCCCTTTCAATAAAATAAAATTGGTAGATATGTTAGTGTGAATGTGCTTGAATAATTTATAACGAAAACATTTAATGAAAGTCGTACCCTGTTCTAAGTCACAGCTGCAAAATAAGGTTTAAGGCACGGTGACTCACTAGCCAGGATGTACCCGGTTCGATCCTGGTGTTGGCCGAGAATGTTCCTCGAGATGTTCCAATCTGGCTTCCCTTTGTGAGTGGTGCGGGACGGGGGACATTGGCATTATATTAAAATAACCCATGAAAGTTGGAAATATAACTAAAAGCAGATTGCTGTCGTCACAAATTGCCTGGCATATCACACTGTGTGACATGTTCCGGTCTTCATTTGCCCCTTTGGTTCCGAAAATTAATACCTTAAATCTTTTTTTTTTCAAAATGGATTACTGTGCCATTGAGTTATGTTTACAATTATATAATAATGTTTTCCTCGGATAATTTATAAATGGTCACCTTGATTAAAAGTATGTCTTCCTGGTTTTGAGTAGCTTCATCGATAAATTTAATGGTCTCTAGGCCTCCTTGTAATACCATTAAAATAAATTTTCCTAAAACGACAGATTATTTAAATCATGGCTATACTATATATAGTAACACCGATTTTAAAAAATGGGAGCTTTAGAGAGAGAGAGAGAGTGTGTGTGTGTGTGGGGGGGGGGGTAACGTCCACTCAACACAAACCAGGTCATTTCGGGACTAACATATGGTTCAATTTTATTTCAATAATTCGCTAGCGCGTAGGGGTCGTTAGCAGTGGGAGGAAACCAGAGGGCCCGGAAAAAACCCACTAGGTTGGACAGGCGACCTTACTCCTTGTCACGTACAACCGGGGAATCTAAATCACGCCAGTTGACTCAATGACAGACCTTATGATACTTCGCACATGTGCTAATAATTCGGCCACCAAACCTCCCGTGTGGTAATAATATATCCCGGCCTAATATTAGTTTTAAATAAGCTCTATTAGATGGGACAGCATGAAATGCTACGACCATAGGTAATACATTAATTAAAATGATTCATCTTTTAACAAAATATACATATAGGATAATACTTCCATTTCCAGTATGATTTGTCATCTTGTTTTCAAAAAAGTGAAATTTGACATATGATTTCGATGTCAACTAGTTTTACAAATTTGGATACATGTACTGTTTACATAGAAAATTAGTATCTCCACATTTATTTCATGCATATTTCTTGCATAAAGTTTGGACTGTAATTAGTACAATTCGGGGGTCCTAGAGGAACAGTATGTGTAGCGTTGTCCGATGTTAGCCACGCTGGTTAGAGCAGAGTTGAGAGAGACCAAATGACATTTTATTTTTTAGTTCATTAGACTTATGCTTGTACCTGTGTATCCTGCTTTATATAAATACGCATTTAGAAGAATAGTGATTTACAGAGTCCGTGGAGACGTCTAAGTTGAAGTCCATTAAGAAACATAATGTGAAGCAAAGAATTACTACCTATTTATTTTGGTGCCGTTTTGCAGACAACGTTAACACCAGATCTATTTTTGAAAATCGACAAATTTCTCATTTGAATTCACTCTGTTATTTTTATTGTATCGATCTCTAAAACAAGGTAGCAGACATTATATAATACTCACCTTCTAAAGATTCACGTATAATTTTCTCTAGTATAAACCGGAAGTCTACTGTTGCTGCGTTATTATTATCAGCATTAATATCCACAAATAAAAAGTTTGTGTGATTCGAATCAAGCATTTCCTTGTACTTATCGTGGATTTCTTCGCGGTCGCCGGTAATTGCTTGACCGATTATTTGTCCATATTTTATTGGCCATTTTCCCTAAAATAAAACAGGGTTTATAGCAGGCAAGTCTCTAACTCAATATCATCCACGGTCTTCGATATTGCAAACACGACTTATTGGCCAATTTAAGTCAACATTGATGTTGTTATCTTACCGTGAAAAGACGGCGCGCTTCTGATACACAATATTTAAGACAAAATGAAAATTTTAAAATTGGCACACGAATCACGTGCCAGAATGCTTTCCAGGGCAATTTATATTTAAGCGACTTGAAGAACGAGGTTAAACATATCCCACAGGAGAAACTACCAGACTGCCATTCAATTTTCGCCGAACATAACTGATTAGAAATTACAGTAAAAGCAGAAACAATTAAATGTAAATCAGTTTATATACATTATTATATGCGTTGGGAGCACGGTTCATTTGTGCCCATTTCTCTAGGTGTCAACGAATAGAGATTTGGCTCCTTTAAAGCTTAATGTACTGCACCGGGGTGGGCTAATGTAAACAGGCATGCGCATTGCGGTGAGCTATGAAACAACTTGTACCCGGACAGAGGCGCTACGGCATACTCTTTTATCCAATTGCCAACTTTGAGGGGGTCTTTAACACGGAACCACGGTTTTTCGTACATTTAGCTGGACAAGACAATTGTCTCACACAACACCGACAAGGGGAAACTATGCTAGCAAACTATTAATGTAAACGAAGCAGTTAATAATCATGGACACGGATTTAATCATTTGTCAATTAAATTAAAATATAATTTAATAAAAAAAAAGTGGTGTGAAGTAGAGTTATTGTACTTACATCCGTACATATGAGTTGGTCATTCCGTTGAATTGTATTCCACGGTACGACACCTATAATTGGGGTTGCAGATTGGTTCCAATCTGTACCCGATAACAAATGCTTTGTCTTGAACGCTTCACCAATATATTTTGTAACAGTCATATTGGTACCTCCTGTTATAAACAATATACCTTCACCTGAAAGAGGCATCATAAGGTTTGAAGTAAAGTAAATACTATAACGTAACTTCGAGTGTGCCATATAATTATGTCATTAATTAGCTAAAACGCATAGTCCTTTAGTAATGGGAGGAAACTGAGAAACCCGCACAAGATACGGCAGGTAACCCTGCCCACGTCCCATCCTTTACCCGAATCCATGCAACATGGCTATTAGAATAATGATAAACTAGCACAATATAAACTCTGTCCAAAACCCGTACAGCCTTATTCAGTAAATCTAAAAATATGTTAAGAATGCTGCCTTTTTATTAGTTACAGACTAAAATTTGTACAGAATATAGATTCTCAGCCAATGAAAATGTTTAAAATATTATAGTTTAGTCTATTGTGATCGTAACGTTACCGTTCCAGGTAGCTTCTCCTATCTTCGTCAATCCAGAATACAACATCTCATTGGATTGTTTCGTCATACGAAGATTCTTATCACCACCAACGACAGAAATCAAAGCATGTGGTGTTTTCCATTTGTAAATGTAGTGATCCAATAACTCTGGTAGTGACGTGCCGTCATCGACACGAATGAACTATAAGAAAGAAAAACTTAAACATACATTATGCAAGCGCTAAATCTGCCTATTGCATGTCTTTCTTTAGGCCGGGAACGTTTGCTAAATTATTAATTACACATTAATTAACTTATCCAGGCCATAATCAACTATTGATGCCATCGGATTTCTCCGATATTAAATAGATTAGAACAATTTTGATTTAAGCTAAAAACGGAGGAGTTAGACTTAGCTTTGAACAACCAGTACGGTGGTTGAAATTATTACACACGTCTTGTCAAACCTTCAAATTTGTCAAGGGCTAATATGTTCGCTCGCAATAGCGTAATTTGAATGAAATTTTCAAATTATTCATTTGACAATATCTATTTTCGAACTATTATAGCAAGAATGGCTAGCTCTTTATCTAAATCGTACATAATGTATCTTTAATTCCCTGCTGAAATAAATAAGCTATATGAGCGATTAAATGAAAAGGGGGCTCAAATCAGGTTTTGACATTTTTGAATAAAGGATATGAAATAACTGAAGATGGTTAATACAGTTGAACTGCTTTCTTGATTTGTGGAAGTCGTGGTGACTCAGTGAGTAAAATCCTAGGGATTTTCCGGTGTGGTTTTTCCTTGTCAGTGGGGCAGGGTTGAGGTCCAGGCAAGGACAGTGCACGTAATATAACCATTGACATTTGGAATTAGAAATAAGAGTATACCGTAGTGCTGCTGTCCGGGCAAAATATCCCTTACAGCGCACTGTATGACGTATACCCGTCTTCATTAGCTCAAACGCTGCAAAAAAAGTTGAACGTTAACCCCATTTCATTTCATTTTCTTTGTTTATTTATATTTCTAAATGCGCACCTAAGTATGTAAATTATATAGACAAGCATTACATCAAAGTCATTATGCAGACAGATCAGTGCTTTGGTGCGAAGAGTAACCGTAAATTAGCACATGGGGACATACGTTAGAACACTAATGGAAAAATAATTCAGTGTCAACCCTTTTCTTTCTGTCTCTGCTCAAAAATCTTTATGGATAACATTCACTAGATTTATTAACTGCAACGTTTCAAGGCGGATACTATCACCGTTATCATACTCTTAAAAAAAGTAAGGGATATTCAGAAACAATACAAAACAAATATGGTCGGCTTATCTGACGGCCCCATTTCACTCGCAAAGCGATACACCGTCAAAAGTGCAAATGGACGTTTTTGATTTTTTTCGTAATAATGAGTAATTGCTCCACCAATCCTCAGACATTCAGCAATTCGTCGTGGCATGCTCCTAATCAACCGTCCAATCACGATTTGGGGCAATGTGACCTACTCCTCTTGCAGTGCCACGACCAATTCTTGCAGTGTTGTCGGTTGACGTTAACGTCGACGAAGGCGTCTCCCGATCAAATTAAACGTAACACACTAAAGCAAAGATACGCTAAACAGTAAATCTTATTCAAGAACCGATAGGAAAGCAAACATGGATAGATAAACCAGAACGCGGCAGTTTTCATCAACCCTTCCTTGAAGTGCCAAATTTGACAATGAACCCCTCCCATGTGTGTTGCATGTGTAGCTCAGTGGTTCTGTTGGGGCGATAAGTTCTTCATCTGTGAACATACTCTCAAAGCATATCAATTGTCCATGGCTATTTATCATATCGCAACCTGCATAGGTATTTGCATTTCAATATCCCCTAAATGCCTTTTAAAGATGAACCAGGTTGTTACAAACAAGTGGGACGTTAAATCATTTTATCACCAAATAACACATTCTACAGTAGATATCGCTAGTGTGATAACTTTCATATTCTAATTAGCGGTATCTCCTAGGGGATATCGTTTTACATGAATTAAAAATCTATACCAAAGAATTATATTTATTTATTTGTGCGTGTAAGAAAGGGTTGGGTGATAAATAAAATTGTTCCCTTTTAGATGTTTTGATATCAAAAAAATGACTCGTTGGAGATTCTCTATTTGCTACAAATACCGATTTTAAAGTACTCACCTTTGCAAGCTGGTTACTATCATTATTAAATTGTATTTCACCAAAAGCATCTGTAGAATCATGCGTTTTCCACAAGTACACATTGGATTACGACTGCGGAGGCGGCTTTAAAAAAACAATCAAAACCAGTTATGTTGTTGGTGTCCTGTAAATGGTTATATTATATTTGTAAATATCTCTCACTATATAAACTTGGTGGCTCAGGGGTTAGGGTTAGGGTTGGCTCACTAACCTGGAGGTCCACCCCCATTTCCTAATGTCAGTGGTGAGACTGGCAAGAAAAATTATCGAGTCTTATGGATGGAACGCCGAGGTACCTTGTATACTATTTGCATCAGCACACTAAAGAGCATCTGACAGAAATGGAAATAATAATAGGCCGTAGCGATGTGTATATCTGCCTTCATTAGTCCGACTGGTTTCGGGGAGTTAGATGGCCGAATGGTTAGCATGCGCGCTCTGCATCATACTGTCTGTCATTGAGTCAACTGGCGGGGTCGATTCCCCGATTGTAAGTGACAAGGAGTAGGGTCGCCTGTCCAACCTCGTGGGTTTTCTCCGGGTCCTCCGGTTTCCTCCCCTACGCGCAAGTGAATTATTGAAATAAAATTGAACCATGTCTTAGTCCCGAAATGACATAGTTTGTGTCGACTGGACGTTAAACCCCATTTCTCTCTCTCTCCGACTGGTTTCATCCCTTTCAAATGTATATACTACTACCTTTAACTTGGACGCATTGTACAATATGGAAATGAAATGTGGCTTAACGTCCTACTGTTTTGCTCTGACTGGGCTAATGAAGACTGGCATTCGAATTCCAGCTGCCAAGGGTTCTTTTACGTGCAAGCCAATGTGTACATTGGACCTCGGTTTTTCGTTCCATCCGACCGACTATACGCTGTCCATTGCCAGGCGCTCCATCCTACACTCTACAAGGGGGAACCACACCCTGAAATCTCGACCATCGCAGGAATCGAACACGGGACCTCCACGTTAGCGAGCAAACGTCCTACCCAGTGAGCCTAAGTGCCCACCTGTACAATATAGTAAAAAAAAAATATTTAGTGAAGAACATTAAAGAATTTCCCCTTCGTTTTACCTATAATTTTGTTAGAGAATTTCTAAACATTTACACAAAAAATCATAACCGAATACTTACTGCGATCCAAAATGACTGAAGCTTAGTTTTCCCGCGTACAACGGATGGAGGTATTGGTGTCCTTTACAATTCTTTTTCATGTGGGCTTTAATCCATTTGGTTTCACTATTTTGTTCCTTGAAATAAAATTAATTAACTTTTGCATGTCGATGGAATTTTGTACGGAATCCAAGCCAGTGAAACGAGATGGGTGATTAATCGTACAACATTTCATTGCTTCCCACCACAAAATAATCAAAAGTTTATTTCTGGTGTTAACTGTTCTAAAAGAAGGCGAAGGCGAATTATACCAGTATCATTCATATTTATGCGTTTCGTTTTATTTCAATCACATGGGGCATTATTATATAGAGTCAAAAGATTAAGTTCCCTGTATTTTAAAGTAGCTGTACGGTGGTCTAATCGAAGACAAGTAATTGTAATTGATTCTCCGCTTGTACGTGACAAGGAGTGGTGTGTTTTTACCAGGTACTCCGGTTTCCTGCTACGGCTAAAGACCCCATGTGTTTAATAAATAATTTTGGTAGATATTAGAATAAAAAGCAAAAAATAAACAGATATTGTCCGAAAAATGTAAACGTTTTAAGTAACCTTATAAAAATTTGATATGCTGTATCCATCACATTCATCACATCCATCCTCATCTTCGCCTTTATCATCATCTTCGGTGTCTAAATGGTCCATTTTAGATGCAGTTTGAGATTCAGGGTTATCTGTCCTTTTGTATTTTTCCTGAAAAAAGGGTGGCACTTTGGTTTTACGTTTATGATCTTTTATATCAAATAATAAGCATCTACCAAAATCTCAAGAAATTCTAAAGCAACGCATGGGAGAAATAATATTTTGTACATATAGACACACTAATTCCTTTATCCAGAAATTAAATGTCTTAAATCTCATTTCAAATCCCATCATTACGTTATTCAATTGTCTAGACCTTGTCTAAAGCTCTAATAAAAGAATGTCCCAGAACATATTATAATTGGTCGTATTGGCCAACAAGTGAAATGAAAATGAGTTTAATGTCCTACTGTTTTGAACCGACTGGGCTAATGAAGACGCACGTCGTATTGTACAGGTTATAAATGTATTCTCTAATGAAACAAATAGACAATTAAAAATTGCTAACCATTCACCCAACCCAATTACGTGTCCTAGTCGGTCGGATGGTATGGAAAACCAAGGCCCCGTGGACATATTGGCGTGCACATAAAGAACTCTTGAGAGTAGGCTGTAGCGCCGCTGTTTGGGTAAAATTTACCCCTTAGCACGCACACCACATATCCGTCTTCATTAGCCCAGTCGGCGTAGAAAAGTAGGACGTAAAACCCCGTTACATTTCATTTATTACGTATAAACTAGTCCGTTACATTTGTTATGAATATTAATACTATCAATCTACCAGTCGCGAACCCCCGGAATTTGCAAAGAGGGTGGGGGTGGGTGATCGGTTCGAATACAGAAGGTCATGAATCCAGAAGCTAACATGCGAGTTGGGTGGTGGGAGGGGGCGTGGGTGCTGCCCGGAAAGTAAACTTTTGGCGGTGTCTAGTTGAATATAAAATCTGATTATTTGAACGATGTATCAATGTTAATTAGATTGATGACTCATTTGAAATACAACAGTAAATACATCAATCTGTGATTTTTTAAATGATAAAATTAAAAATTCAACAACTCAAAAACAAATCTTTCATGTATACCATTTGATCCATCATCACCCAGCTGTATAAAATAATACATTAATCTATTAATGTTATAACTATCTTAACTAACCTACAGTTCCAAACTTCTCAAATCTAATAATTTCATAAACTGGCTTCTGTTTACTGCTGTATTAATCGAACTGCATAAAGTCATTGAAGCTGTTCAAATGATATACTTATCAAATGCTTGTAGTAAGCAGTGAAAATACATAGTTGTAAGTATTATTTAACGAAGGCCATTTATACAAAGAGACTGTACAATAATATAATGTAAAATACTCAATTCGAACGAATATAATAGAACTATTCCGAGTCTATTTAGAAGAGTGTTTAAGACTGTTTTCATCATTATAATGCACCGCAACAATTGTATCAATAAAAATAAAAAGTATTTACAAATTTTGAATAGTCAATATTTTAAAAGCTGGCCTCAAACCACAGTGGTATAGAATTGAAGCATTAAACCACGATTTATAATATTTATGGGAGACCGTTTAACTCTAAAGTGGAAATGAAAATTAAATGGGGTTTTGCATCCTACTGTTCTGCTCCGACAGGGCTGATGAAGACGGGATTAAATAGAAATGACTGCGACTCGGGGGTCACTAGAAATGGTAACACTACTGATGTATTCCGCCTTACTCCAGCCAAAGTAGTAGCTCGTTCTACGGAGTTTCTGTGAGCAAGTCTTTTAGTCAAATGACTACAAAAAGTTTACTGGCCTATAGCCCCGTTAATTTACACATAAACTGACTCCAAACTGTACTGCACATAGCTTAACATATAATAAACCAATTCCCATTGAAATAAACGTGTAGCCTTACCGCATTATTATATGGTTTGATGAAACCCAACTGTTTTACGCGAAACTTGGCGAGATTTCATCTGGCTGGTGTCATAGCGGCTTACATTAGAAGAAATGTCGCTTTGAAAATGTAGAACGCATTACCACAAAGAAAAACTGTTCAATAACTATTTTAGTGATTCAGTCTTCACTGTTTGTGATTGAATTACTTATTTCAATACAAACTGTAATGATATGTGTTGACAATTGTGCGTTTGAACCTATTTGTACTTGCGTAATGTGTTTTAGACTGTATCAATTGTAGCGTTCAACAGTTTAACCCTACGACATTTGTAGCTAAGGGGTCACTTTCGATGAAGTGATTCTATTTTCCTCACAATTTCCCTTTACTGAAAACAAAAAGGTTAAATCAATAGCAAGTATTACATTATTTTGTCAACTGCTTTACATGGACTATTTACATTTATTCACCGGGGCGGGGTGGGGGGCGAATGGTTAGCACGTCCGCGCTGTATCATAAGATCTGTCATTGAAGAAACTGGCGTGGTTTCGAATGCCCGATTGTACGTGACAAGGAGTAGGGTCGCCTGTCCAACCTCGTGGGTTTTCTCCGGGTCCTCCGGTTTCCTTCCACTTCTAAAGATCCCTACCCGCAAGCGAATTATTGAAATAAAATTGAACCATGTGTTAGTCCCCAAATGACATAGTTTGTGTCGAGTTAAACCCAATTTCTCTCTTTCGGCATTTATTCACAGTGTGAACAAACTAATAGAGTTATCCCGAAGATGTGCCATATTCAATACTCTGGGGAATACTCGATTGAATTCCGGAATAAAATTCTCACAATTCCAAAAATAGTGGCAATCAAGTGAAAAGGAGAATTTCGGGGTACAACGCATGTGCCGACTGCATAAAAAATATCTCAACCAATCATGACAGCTGGAACATATGTCACGATTCTACCCACACCACCTCAGCTGTCGGGACTGGCAGAGCTTGACAGGGCTGAATTCCATATCACTTGATTGCAATTCTGTCAATTCGGGACGTTCGAGCACGTGAAAGGGAGGTAACTCTAGGATGACAAGCAACTTTTCGGAATAAGGTTAGTATATTTATTTATTGTCTTCATATTTAAATTCATGTCGTATCTCAATTATGCAGTTATGACGTTATTTAAAATACATAATAATATTATGATTGAGGCTATTATGTCAACAAGGAGCCTAATATATCACAACTACTTTGTCAACAATTTTACAAGAGACTGCTCATGACCAGTTCGGTTTTATATGCGATGAATCGATAGTCAATATGTTGTGTCACCTACACAATTTTGATGATGGACTTAAAATTTTTTTTAATGCATTAATGTTCCCCCAAAACCCGACGGATAATCTTTTTTTCCATTCTAGACTAAAAAGTCAACACAATCGACATGCAGAAGGGAGGGATACAGATTTTCTATCGTAAACCTCAAAAATTAATTAGTCGCTGTTTTAGGCTTTGTGTGGCGAAGGAGGCCGTCTTTCTATAAAAAAAAAGTCGAACTTGAAAGCTAATTTTTTTTTTAAACAATATTTTTATACAGATTTGTATCTGACTGAATATGGTTTGGGGAACAGGCATAGCCTATATCAAACACCTCTTAATCCATGTATTGCCTTGACTATGTTGAACAGGACAGCTACAGAATCCATGTGTGTTATATTTGACAAGAGTCCACATATATTATAAAACACTGTTGTTGTTATTTTTTATTTTAAGAGACGCGTCCATTAACTGATTTAATCAACCGATGGAATATTATTCGTTTGATATATAACTCCACACTCCGCTTTAATTTAAAGATGCATTATGTAAGAATTCAATAATCAAAAATGATGAATATATTGAAAATTCCAGTCGAATTACTTTATTCTGTGAGATGTAATGGGTGTTTGAAGTTTTAAAAAAGGTAGCGTTGAGTATTTATCATTGTAGCAACGGTACTTACCCTGAAGTCGCGATCATCTTTTGTTTCGTTAAACTCTTAACTTGTCGCGGTAATCTTATCTACTTAAATCGGAGCCACCCGATGGCCCAGAGAGTTGGGCACGGGCTTGGCATATTAATAAATGTTTAAATCTACATAAAATTAGAAGCCAGAAAGAAGACATATATAGATGTGTTAGTCCCGAGATGACCTGGTTTGTGTCGAGTGGACGTTAAACAACATTTCTCTTTCTCCATCCTTGTCACGTACAAGTGAGGAATCCGCACCATGCGACTTGACTCATGACAGACATAATGATTTAATCCATTTGGCAACCACCCTAATGGATTCCCAACGTATTGTATACACGGGACCTTGATTTTCCGGCCCATTCGCACTACTATACCAAGCTTTTCCTTGTAAGGTTCTCCGTCCTGAACCACAAGCAAGGTCCAAACAAAATTGAAAATCCCTATTTATATCTAACCCTGTAGTGAATACTAATGTCGGGAGAACAAATTAAAGGTTTGTTTATTTGGCATATATTGCATGCCCTAAAGACATGGTGAGAAAAATAATGTTCAAAATGGAATTTATAATCCATAAAAAAAACTAACAAATCACACGAGATCTTCAAATTTTACTTCTATTTAACTAAGAATATTTAGTGGCCATTTTCCATGCCAGAATCACGTTATTCTATAGCATAAATGGACATAGCCCGTTGATTAGCGTCGATAAAGTGTAAAACCAATAGTAGAGACACCCATACTCGCTATACGAATTAATTAACATGAAGCTCGCCTCTATAACATGCAGAGAAGAAATCGATAAACACCACCGCCTTTTAGATATTCCATCTACCATTGATGCTGAATGGGATACTGTAATCTCGATTTCAAAAACATAGCCTTATTTTTCAAGAATAAACACACGGTTCTTGTCTAAGGTAGAAATTATTTGAGTGAAATATATGAAAAACATCAAAGCTTCTTTTTACTCTGTAACCTAGACAACGCACGAGACGAGACGACGCATGCGCTGTGGAATGGATATTGAATTTTAGAGTGTAGTTAATTGTAATATATTTAGTGTGCCGTTATTGGAGTTCTATCGTACGTTTTCTGGTTTTAAAATGGCAGAGAGATGAAATAAGAAGATTTGCTTGCAATCAGAGACCACACACAATGTTTGAGATAATATGATATAGGTAAGAGCCTTTTAGGGAATTACACATAGGCATATTCTTATCTCTAGTTGATGTTATAGTACCAAGAATGTTTCTATAGCTTTAGCTTTCTTAATTTATTTATGCTTTGGTTTACACCTTGAGCTATTAATAGTTAACTCTGCAGAATATATGATTATCATATCATATAAGTAAAACGTACTAATAGGTATAAAATCAGAATATAAGTTGGAATAATAAGTCCAGTTTTTTTTCTATGCCAACATATTCATGCCAATTTTATTACATCAATATCGGACCACATATGAAGTTGGATATTGACTTTATTTTTCTGTGTAAACAAACATATAAATGATTTATTATTGGCATCTAAAAACATGATATATATTACGAACATTTTGTAAATATTGATAATATTAATATTAAATATTTATATATTAAACTGGTGTGAACGTATGAATGTTTTTGCTGATATTGCGTTACAACCATATTATTCCCGTCCTTACGTTTTCGGGGTCACGGTGGCTAAGTGCGTAAGACGCTGGCTGGCTAGCCTGGAGGTCGGGTGTTCGATCCTTGCATTGGCCGAGAAAGTTCATCCAGATTTTCCGGCGTGGTTCCCCTTGTTAGTGATGCAGGACGGAGGGCCTGACAAGGAAGGCTGTCTAGTCGTTCGGATGGGACGAAAAACCTAGGCCCCGTGTACACATTGGCGTGCACGTAAACGATCCCTTGACAGTTGGAATTCGATAAAAGAGTAGACCTCAGTGCCACTGTCCGGGAAAAATGTCCCTCATAGCACACTGTATGAGGTATGCCCGTCTTCATTAGCCCATTTAGGAGCAGAACAGTAGGACGTTAAACCTCATTTCATTTCCTTACTTTTTCTTTTTTTAAAAAAATGCTCAAAACCAATCCAACAGTAAACCAAAGAACCCAATTTATATCGGATCTCCCCATCACGTCCGCATCCGCGTCGTATATAATTATTATATACTAGTCACATTGCCCATTAATCTTTTATATAAACGGATGTTAAAAGGTCACGTATGTAGTAATGCAAGCATTCAGTGGTTATAATTTTAATAATACATATATACATTTGTTTAGATTTTATCTGATAACCGTCTGTGGTTATTTATCAAAAATATAATTTATATTCAGCCCTGGTGAAATACTGACGTTAAAACTTGTCATCGAAGC